CTCCTCCTCCTCCTCCTCCTCCCCCCCTTCCTTCTCCTCCTCCTCCTCCTCCTCCTCCTCCTCCTTCTTCTTCTTCTTCTTCTTCTTCTTCTTCCTAGAGAGACTGTGATTGATTTCCTCTGTTGTCTCATGGATTAGTTTTTTCACCTCACGTACTATCTTTTCAGAAATTTCAGGTGTGTATCTTCCAGGGTCTTCAAAGTCACTATCTCTTGGATATTTTTGCAGATGTGCTGGAGATATGAGACTACATTTTGCTTTTTTGTCTTGTCTGGTTTACCTCTTGGTTAATATTTCTTTCTCTTCAGCCTCACTAGTCTCAACTTTTTATCCTGTGCGTCTTAATGTCCTGCTGTGTGGCTGGCATTCAACCCATTGCTGTATCATACAGTGTAGGTGTGGTCAGTCCCCTGAAATTATCTTGTGGGGCCAGTGGGTGAGTCCTGGATTTTTCCTGGGCTGATTAGCCTAGGAGTATTCATGTGACCCATCACTTCACTCATATTGTTACTGCTCTTTCAGACTTGTCAAGGGTTCCAGACTCACCTGTCCATGATGTACACTATAACTGGGACCTCCTGTGTCACTGGGGAGGGGTCTCTCAGGCAGACTCAGTTTCCTCTGGGTTGGGGAGGCTTCATTGGCACTCTTACTGTCCTGCTCAATTTCTTCTAGGTAAAGTGAGGGTTCACTTGTGCTCTCCTTGATCTTTCCCAGGGTCCTCTGGGTGGGTGGGTGTGCTGCTCATGCTTTTGCTGGCCTGCTGAGTTCCTCTGTGGGAGGAGGGTATCTGACACTCCTGCCAGCCCGCCAAGGTCCTCTGGGTGGGAGAAGGGCTTACCTGGACTCTTGCTGGCCTCCAATGTCCTCCAGGTTGGCTCATACTTTTTTTTTTTAAACTGTTTTCAGAAAGAATGGGATTGAATGAAGCTGATTATCTGAGCTATAAAATGTAAGGGAAAAATTTAGGTGATGTGGTTTCATTCCATACAGTGGAATTTCCTTATTTCTATTTTCTCATTTTTGTGATTTGATAGTTCCTATCCTCTGTTGGTGCTAATCCTCTGGATATTTTGAGGCAATTTCTCCAGAGGGCTTGTCCTGATATTGAGAATTGAAGTAAGGATCTCAGGGTGCTTTCTGGTAGAGAAACTTAAAAAACAAATATACTAGTCTATTCTGAAACCATCAGCCATGCATCATTAGCAAGGTCTTAATCCACACACATTCCATGTATTATTTCTTTGACCTTGTAGTATTCCACTGCCTTTCCTCCTTTTTCCTAAACAAGTTATCTCAACATTCTACAGTCCTATAGTGTTATGTATCTTGAAGTATCTTTTGCTGCCTAAAAAATCCTTTTTCTCCTATAGCTAGAATTAAATTTTCCACTCTTTTTGTCACATTTTATATTGAAATATAAGGTCACACTGAGTGATTACAGCTTATAAGTATGATGCATTCATCAATGCCTGTCTTCTCCTTTTGGATGGCAGTTCTATTGGAAAAGACAATATAACCAATTTCCGTTCTCCAGAGTGTCAGTTTTGACACATCATAATAAAAGTCAGTAGACTTGTGCAGACCGAATAAAGGACCTCCTTAGAATCCTCCTGCAGGATCCTCCTCTTCATCCACGTGATTTTCTCTTTTTCTCCTATCTCCTACCTGTCTTTATGTAGCTAATTATTCAGTTGTTTGCCATTATTATATTTAGTTCTAAAATACTCAAATCTTCTCTCTAGCATTTCCTTCTTAGAGTGAATTAAGCTGTCTACTTCCATCCTACAGTTTTCCTGGTGGATTTTTGTAGAGAAAGATTATATATCAAGGTGTTCAGAAACAATAAAATAAATTTTCACTTATCTCAAGACTTTCTAAAAAATATATTAATTTCTTTAGTAATATTACCCCCATTCCTGATTGTGATGACTGTGGATATGGGTTAGAGTCTAAGACCTCTTTTCCTAGTTTCTAACACAAAAAATAAAAACAAGAACTACTTACAAGTGCAAAAGTAATTTATTAATCACACACCCTTAGTCTTACCATCACACTCTCTAGATTCAGCCACCTCTGAAATAGCTCCATGACGACACGAGGCTTTGGGAGTGACATCTAGAGACAAACCATAGCAAATATACAGTATTTTATTGATTAAAACACCTGTATCCTTTATTGTAAACATATATTTGATGGTTCAAAGCACATATAAAATCTCTATTCTACCAAAGAAATGATGAAACATTGAATTTTGCTTAAAATATAAATAAAATACCCTTATAATTTTACTTTTCTACTTGTAATTCTGGATTATCTTTATGCGTTTTGTTTAAGAAAAAAAACCATTGTATAGGGACACATAAGAAATATACTGCATATTTCATTAAAGTCTGTCTCATTGTGATCTCATCACTACTAACTCTGTAACAAGTATCATTACAGAGAACACCTGAGATTTTGGGAGTGCAAAATGTGTTTTCACTGTGACTTATATTACTATAGCACACCCCATTTTTAACCTAAAGCATTCTGCTAAAGTCTCAAATAATCCACAATATTTGTTTTCATTGAAGCAATTTTTGCCAAACAAAGACAAATTTAAAAGACTTTCACTTTCTGGTTAAAAATGTAATCATTCTCTATTTTATTCATACAAGTTTTTCCAGATAACTATTGTGCTTCAAAACATTAAAGATAATCAAGGATAAGCAGGATGGTAAAATTATCAACTGTATCCTCTTAGTGTGAATGAGATGTATGGGAAAAACAATACTTCATAATAAATATTGCAGGTGTATTTAAATTCATGTAACAACCTACATTCTCTAAACTCTAAAACTTTGATGATTAAAAACTTTATGATAAGAATTTTATAGTCAAAATTTCTAAAAATAACTGAACCAACTTTAGCTCCTTCCAGGGCAGGATCCAATGTTTTGGACATTGATTTTTATTAATTAATTAATCAACTTATTTACTTATGGTACTGGGGATTAAACTCAAAACCTCATGCTTGCCAACCTCACTTCCTTATCCATAGAAGATACCATCAACATATTGAGGTTTAAATAAAATTCTGTAATTCTCTTTTTTCCATGTACATTAGTTTTTTTTTTTTTTTTTTGCTTTAAGGGAATACAACTATTCAACTTTCTCCTAGTAATCTTTTGTTTCTCTTGGCAAATAACTAATGCCTGACATAGAGTTGCCATTCACTACTTGTCCCAATATATGGGATCCTTCTATGCATAAACACATAAATGGATATTTCATTATTAGGGAATTAGGAATACCATGCTCCTACCCAGTATCTATTGATTACTCAAGACTTCTAACATGGATCACAAAAGATGTCAATAAGTCTAAGGCAGATACTTCAAGCTCACATTCCTTTTGATATACCAACACATTTGCTTTTCTCAAGACAGTAGTTCTTCCCCCATCCTTTGAGAACTGCCACCTCCACTGTGCTGTACCAAATGCCCTGGACACAGATGCCAGTGAAAGGCTCAGCCAAGGAAATCAGAGCTGTATCTTAAACTGAGGCACAATGAATGAGAAGCTGCTGTGGCTGAGCCTGCTGGTGACAGTTTCAGGAGGCTGCTTCTCAAACTTTCTGCCTGGAGCTGACCTAGTCCCCACTTTCCCTTTGTCTAAGTTTCCATAAGCTTTAATTCACTCCGTTATCTAGGTACTATTGCAATATGTCAATCCTATTGGTGCTGTGTATTAAAAAGTTGTAATGCTTGTTTATAAACAACACCATGTAGAAAGCAATAAATGTAAAAATTCATGTTTATGTGTGATATGGTTACAAAATGCTGTTTTTGAAAATGTTTTAAAAATGAAATGATATTAATCTTTTTCTCATTTCTAAAATCGAACTACACCAAGTAGTTAAATATACCCTTGCTCAGTAATATGCCTATCTTGTGGGATTAATACCCAAAGGAAGCCAAGGTTGTTTAAAATCTCCTGTGTGTATGAATTATTTCAGTTCCTGGCATCAAATAGGAGACTGCTGCAGGAATTGATCCACAATTGGATGTATGACACTATATTTAAAAGTGATTGGAGAAGAATGGAACTCACCACACCTATGTGCAGACTTTGAGATGGGTGGTGTTTAGACAGGGAGGAACCCTCCTTCTTTCAGGAAGGCAAGGAGAAAGCCCTGAATAGCACTAGGCAGCTATGCCCCGGTTGCCAGGCAAGTGCCCAGATTTTCTCTTACACTTATTAACTTGGCTTTCATTTTTCCCTATCCTTAAACCCACTAGGAAAAATATATGCTTAAAAGATATATAAATAAGTAAATGCTACATAGATTGGATAGATAGCCAGAACAGATGATTTAAAGAGTCTTAGGAAATAGAATCTGTGAGAAGATGTATAAATTAAAAATATCACTGGATTGGAAAATCTAACATAAGTAGAAAACAATGCCAGAAATTCAAGAATGTAATACTTTTAGATTTACTTTTACCCCGTGTCTTTTACTGGTAAAATTTACTAAAACTTAACTTGCATGTGGTCAGAGAATTGCAGGCTGTGGGACTTGCGGTGTACTTTACAACATAATTATCTGTATTAAACTGAGGGAACTCAGAGGATGAATAGCCAGTCAAAAATTATTTTGTTCATTAAGAGCTATGTTCCTTCTTTTAGCTAATTTGTTCCTTTAAATCACAAAGGAACATTTGGAGTTAACAAATTTAATTGTGTGTATGGAAATGGAAGGTTAGGGGACTAGCCCTGTAACTCTTTTGTGGCAAAGATTATTAATGAATACAATCTGCGCTGTGAAACTTCAAACTTAAGAAATTTCAGAAAGATATCCAGTAATGAAGAAGCAGACAGATCAAGAAATTTCTCTTGGGATCACTGTTCTATGAATATCTGAACCTTGTCTTCCTTATCAGTTAGCTGATAAGGACACAATTAATTCATATATATATTAAATTTCATCACAAATTTATTTTCACCATCACTCAAGAGCTGACTCTTCCATAAGAATGAGAAATATCACACTGGTGACCGAATTCATCCTGCTGGGCATCCCTGAGACAGGAGGTCTGGAGACCGCCCTCTTCTCCCTGTTCTCAGCATTGTATCTATGCACCATCCTGGGAAATGTGCTCATTCTTACCGCCATCCTCTGCTCCTCTCGGCTTCACACTCCCATGTATTATTTCTTGGGAAACCTCTCCATCTTTGACCTGGGGTTCTCTTCAACTACTGTCCCCAAGATGTTGTCCTATCTTTCAGGGCACAGCCCAGGCATTTCTTTTCAGGGATGTGCTGCTCAGCTCTTCTTCTATCACTTCCTGGGCTGCACTGAGTGTTTCCTGTACACAGTGATGGCCTATGACCGCTTTGTCGCCATCTGTTATCCACTGAGATACACGGTCATCATGAACCACAGGGTGTGTTTTGTCTTGGCCACGGGGACCTGGATGAGTGGCTGTGTCCATGCCACTATTCTAACCTCCCTCACCTTCAGACTGCCCTACTGTGGCTCCACCCAGGTGGGCTACTACTTCTGTGATATTCCTGCAGTGTTGCCTCTAGCTTGTGAGGACACATCTCTAGCTCAGAGGGTGAGTTTTACAAATGTTGGTCTTGTGACTCTCATTTGTTTGTTCCTCATCTTTGTTTCCTACACTTGCATTGGAATCTCCATATTGAAAATCCGCTCAACAGAGGGCAGGCAAAGGGCGTTCTCCACCTGCAGCGCCCACCTCACTGCAATCCTCTGTGCATATGGGCCAGTCATTATCATCTACCTTCAGCCCCATCCCAGCCTCTTGCTTGGCGCTGTAATTCAAATGCTGAATAATCTTGTAACTCCCATGCTGAACCCACTGATTTATAGCCTGCGGAATAATGATGTAAAATTGGCCCTGAAGTGTGTATTTCTGAAAGGAAGCCATGCTCTAGAAATTGAGTGATTAACTCTAACGCTTGAAAGGACAAAGTTTGAGCCTCAATTTTGTGGGGCAAATTGTTGTGTGAAACTTGTAAATCATCAAAACCATTTATCTCATTGATTTAAAACATATATCTGTTTTTCAATTTCCCTATGCTTTACAGTGAAATATAGTTGAAAATACGTTAGTAAACATTTTAGCAATTTTTATACTACAAGGATGATGTCTCAGTACCACAATAACCCAACAAGCTTTTTTTTTTGTTGTTGTTCTTTAAGACCTTAAAAATGTTATGAGAATGATTTGCTCTCTTAAGTTAGTGGTAACGTGTATATATCCACTTATATCTATATCTATATTTATATCTAATATATCCATCTAGAGGAGAGAGAGAATAAAAAATTTACAAGTATTATAGTTGTGTGTCTTGTTTTTCAGAATGTAAACCCCAAATTACTGAAAATAAACCAAAAATTCAAACTAATTAATAATGCTCATGGGAAATCTCACAAATATACAGTATTAAATATATTTTTACATTTTTTTAGTCCAGATATTTATTTGGAAGCATAGCTATTTTCTTTTCATTATTTGACCCTTGGTACACTATGAACCTGAATAATTTCTCATTAGATGGGAGAGGAATGAGTTTCACTTTTGTAAATGTCTGAGTTCTTGTTTGTCTATACCTTGTCTTGTAAGCCACATTGTTCCTTTTGGAAAACAAGAATCAATTCCCAGGAGTCAGAGGCCTAAAGTGATGAGAAAGGTGGAAGATTGGGTGCACCTGGCAAGTGAAATTTTTTGCTGAAGTTCAAATCAATCTTCTGGCGTAAATTTAAGCTGGGCTGGCAGTGGCTACTCTAACTAAAGGAACACAGAAGTGTGAGGAATCACCATCCAGTAATGCATAAAGCATTAACCTTTAATCTCTAAAGATGACAGTCTATTTTGGTGAAAGCATGGTAGCACTCAGACCAGAAGGCAGATCCCAGCTCAGGGAAACACCCTCTACTACACACTTTAGAGAATACTTTAGGTTCTTATGAGCCTGATGAAAGAAAAAGGGCAGAACATGCACCAACAAAGCAGGACGATATCCATAGCTACTATTAGCTGAGCATTTATCATGTATCAAGTGCTGTGTGACATAATGCATTATGACTAGTCCTTAATCCTAGGCTGGGAAATTGGAATCACTTCTCCTACCCTGCACTAGAGAAAGCTAAAGGGGAGATATGACAGCATAAATGAAAATAGAGGGAATTTTAGGAAAAGGGGGCCCCAAGAGAAGGGAATTAAGTGGAAAGGGTCATCAACTGGGAATGAGTTTAGAAATGCAATCAGGGATGTGTTCTCTTGGTGCCTATGGTCAAAGGGAATAATAGTTTGCCACCACCCTACTGATCAGATATGTCACACATGATTTTTCTCCTTTGATTTGGGTGCTCTGCCCAGAGGGTAGGCCATAGAACCCAAGGAAGTCTTCAGCCTCTGACTTGGAGCCTCAGCAATGACAACTAAACCTCTGCATTGACCTTTCTCTCCTCTTTAAGACTTGATGCGTCTCTTCTTTGAACTTCCAGTCACAGGGCTGAATGACCTTCTCAAAGATACTATAGTGGGCCCCCTTTTAAAAGTGCCAAAGTAGCTCCATCTAAATTTGTGGGAAAAATGACAAATGCCTACTAAATGGGAACATGCACATTGGGGACAACTTTGCCCTTGCTGTTGCAGCAGTGTGCCCACCCTGTCTCATAGTGGATCTGTGTCATCCACCATTGCTCACACCGCCCTGTCCTTCACCTGACTTTCAGTGTTTTCTTGCCTATGGCAAACTCTGAAGTGCCCCTGAAACTCCCGCAGTGCTTCTCCCCAAACTGGTAGAGGCACTCAATAACCAAGGAGAAACATCTGTAATTGTAGAAAGATTGAGGTTAGAGACAAGGACTCAAGAGGAGAATTAGCAAATTGACACAAAAAAATTTAAAGAGTATGGTGAAACATTTATTTCCTTAACCATAAGTCTGACAATTAAAATATTATAAGTATTCTATATTTAGGAGCCATAATGAACACTTTATGTCACACTACAATTGTGGTGAGTCTACTGAGAAGCAGGGTGTGGTTTCATTTTGAAGAGAAAGAACTGAATTCCAGAAAATTCAAGAAAGCTGCTCCAAATACTTGCCTAATAGTGCTAGAGGCTACATTGCAGCACTGGTTTGTTTGACTGCAAGTTTCCTAGGCAAAGCAAAGCAAAGACCAAAACTTTCAACGATTTTGGCTTAAAACTGTTCTTTCAATTTATTATGTTGCCTGGGCAGGCTCTTCTCAGGTGAGTGCAGTTTTCATCCTGTTCATGTAACTGGAAAATTCTTACCTTGCACCATTCTGTTTGTATAAAATAACCTCTTGGCCATAATTTAATTTCCTGAGTAGAACTGTGTATAAAAAGAATATAAATTGGGAATACACATAGAAGCATTTTCACAGAGCAAGACAAAAATAGCTCTCATTGTGAACTGATAATTGGAATTTGACTCTATATCAGCTACTTCTGACAGGGTTGATTGTGAGTTGTCATCCTCAATCTAGTGCATTAAGATTAATGTTCTAAGTCTGTAAGGACAAAGGCCTGATTTGAGTTGCAGGGATCTAACTGTACTCATTTTCCCTAAATGCCACATCCTGCCAGTAACTTCCCACCATCACTTTTAGATTTCAGTCATAAACTTTGAAATGTAACTAACATTATTAAGCACATGGATATATACGTCTCTTCTTTTCTATGTATGAACCTAAAATTAAAAAGTTTTTAGTCGTGGTTAAATATATACCTAGAACATTACTAAAGTGCTTAATGTGAATGACCATAAAAACAACAATTGATATATTAGCAGAATTTGAAATAGCACTTATTTTGTGTCAGGCAAAATTTCTGATGTTTTACTTACTTTTATTGTTTTAATGTTCATTATAAGCTTATAAGATAAATATTATTAGTATTACCATTTTCAAGTGAGAAAACTGAGTCTTAGAGTTTAGTTGATTTGTCTAAAACCCAAACAGGCAAAAGAGCTAGTACTTAACTATTTGACTTCTTAATGTGTCATGACTTTATAGGAGTTAAATATATGACTTAAGGAAAATACCCTATGTCAGTTCTGCTCACAACAATGCTAGAATAAATTGTTTCAAGCTGATAGAAAACTAGATAACCTATATATAGTAATTTTAATAATTAAAAATATTAGCATCGTGCTAACAATACAACACAAAGCTATGAGGCAGGGCTTAGGAAAGGAATAAAGCCAAGAGAAATGAACATGGCATCTGGTGTCCATTCACGCTTTGCAGCAAATGTCACATAAAAATGATGCCTGAATAATTAAGCTGTTTCACAGGGGTAGGAAGAAAAATGAGAAATTATGGCTTTCCAAATGTCTCCGTACTGCAGATTTTTGGATGGAATCCTATAGCTTCACGTTGCTGAGGTCAAGATTAGCAGGAAATAGCCATTAAATTGATAGAAATTCATTGAACAGAGTATAACTGGATCAAGTGTGTTTGCTCTGAATCCAGTGACCCATCGTATCCAAAGACTGAGTCCTTTCAGAAGCAAGATATCTTTTATATTATTGAAGACTTTTCATACTACTTCATATAAAATATCTAAAAACTACAAAAAGATTTGAAAATCTAAAATAGGATTATGCTACATACTTATGAATAACAGACTTAAAAAGGAATCAGAATATTAATTAGGAAATATTTTCAAGTAGATATCCCAATTTAGGATTCATTTAGATTCTATACATATATAAATGTATAGCTCTAAAAACATATATTAGAAAAGAAAGTATAAAATGTACTACTTAGGCATCCATCTCAAGAGGATAGAAAAAGGATAGCCAATAAATCCAGAGACTTTAAAAGAAAGAAAATAACAAAGTTAAGAGCAGATATTAGTAAAATAAAAAACAATTGCACAATGAGAAGATGAAAAATGGAAATGTGATAATATCCTAAATTTTAGTAAAGTTAACAAACTTCATAATAAGAGACAAATAATCTATGTGAGGAATGGAAAGGTACTATCAATGGAGATTCTACAACATTAAATGTTATTACAAATGGCAAATGATATTGCAAAGCAATGTAATAGAAAATTTGATGCAAATACACTTGAAAACGTATATAGAATACCCAAACTCCCATGAAAACAGGAACATATATAGTATAAACAGTTAAAAACAAACAGAGGAGATTGGAAGACGGTAGTATAGAATCTCAGTCTCTCTGGGACTTGGACTTGTAGTACCGAGAAAATAATAACAGCAAAGAAAAAGAAAGAAAATCACCTGGAAATAATAAATAATAAATAATAATCACCCGGAATCACAGAAAAATGGAGAAACCGAAGACAATGCTGGAAAAGAAGGCAGTATTCTGTAAGTTAGCCTCAGATCCTGGGCAAGAGGACTGGGCTCCTAAGGCACAAGGTAAGCCCAGAGGGCTGGCAGATCCAGGGATAAACAGTGGAACAGGAAAGCAATACCAGCTCCAAGAAAACACTTGTGATTATTGAAAATTGCAAACAGGATGGGGTTTTACTTTGAAAGTACCCTCTTCCACATGACAGCTAAAAATTGGAGAAGAAATGTATTGTAATATCTGCCATATTGGAGAGTGATAAATAAGGAGCCATTTGGGGAAGGGATTGTTTAAGACTGAGGTTTCCTCTGATAAAGAAGCCACAGAATAACTCTGCTTTTGAGACCACCCTAGCACAGAGAATAGTGGGGAAATGGCTTCAAGAGACAGATATCACAGGCTAGACCTAGACCCTCTTGAGAATTTTAAGCAGTGGGAGGTCAGCCTGGTAAAAGCATAGTGACTGTACCCTTTGTGGTGCGAAGTCAGGCTACTCTGTGGGGTTTTCCGGGAGCTGGGTGTAAAGACACTGACAGGAACCCCACTGGACAGCGTGAACCCCACACCAGTGCTTCCATTCAGCA